TTACTTATGTTAAGAACGCACTCCTTGAAATCTGTGCGCAAAAAAAACTTCTGTCGTCAGCGAATCGTATACTTAAATACAAGTAACAAAACTAGTAATACTGGAAATTAGCTCTAAAGTCATATTTCAGCGATATCTCGAGAACGGCTCCAAAGATCAACAGAGGACAGGTAGGTATAGTTGAGGAAATCAAAGTCACCAAGAAATCCGCAGTCTTTTAAAAATAAGCTAGGTAAACACCGCCCAATTCGAACTGAAGTCAGCATTTTTACAAGTTGCTAGCCAATCCCATCATTGTGATTTTGGTCCCGTTGAGAAAGAATTTCCACACTAAATTACAAGTGACGCCGCTTACAGAAAGTCAAGAAGACCGGAATAAAGGACACCTTTTTCATTAATGCAGAATAATAAATCATTAATATTTTAAAGTAAAAGACAACTTTTGTAACAAATATCCAAAGATTGAACCTTACTGATATTTCCTAGCCGCTCGTCGTGGAGTTAGTCTGAAATTGAAAACGCCTGTACAATATCACATAAACTGCAATTCGCCTTATATACTGAAAAAACAACAACAGCCAAACTCAACGAAGCTGCAGTAACTACCATTAGGCAAATGAAGAGTATAACAAATATATCAGTCAAAAGTTATGAATGATTTTGTACGCGTTTTAGCTCCTTTGAAGGACGCTTCCAACATCAGGATCTAGATCAATCATTTCCCACTAAGAAGTTAATTGACAGTCTCTGAATCACAACACCTTTCCGCACACCCACTGCCGACTTCATTACTCTAACAGCAGTTCGTCCCACCAATTCCAACAGTCATAGAATACAAACATCGCTCCGATTTGCCCTCGAAGTGCTCCTTCAGACTCTTCAGTACGAACAATTTTGAGTCTACCACTCTGGCAAACAGCCCACTATTCACTACTTCAACGTTACAGCTCAATAGTAACAACGTTACCCGGCTCGTGACGCGTCGCACCAGGCAGTTTTAGTGTCGGCGTTCGGTAATTTCCAGTTCCTAAGTGTTCAGCCACAGTTTTTTAGGTGATCATAAAGGACTGGATCGTTAATTTACCTTTTTTTTGCATGAATAACCGTTTTTTATGCAGCTGTCTTTTCGTTCTCTGTATTACAAACACGTGCCATTGAGTCTCGTATTTAAAAAAAGTTTTTTACAGATATTTATCCCTTTACGTAACTTCCAATGTCTCTGTATGATATCTTTGGCGAAGATCCTGTTAAAGAAAGTACTAGTAAGGAAGGTGATAGCAAGACCTCTAAAGGTATTTTAATAGTCTGTTTTTACTTGAAATGACAAGTAACTACTTGTCTGGCAGATTTTTATGTTACTTAGTTCGCTGTAGTCAAATCAAGTTGTACTGGTGCTGTTGTGCTTTAGTGTGCTCGTGCCCGCAAAATGTTTTTTTTCCTCGATAAATTGCCATAGTTTTTTGCAGTAGGATTTTCGGCTACATACAGATTCACTTGTCTCAATTAAAGTGAACCCTTCACACGTATTCTTTGCTTTTTAAGGATCTGGTTTTTTTGATAGCCTTTCATTCCCCGATATTCTCTCGTATTTCCCTCTCGACGTGGAGGCATGGTGTAGTAAGTACGTTAATTTTTTTCAGTTATAAATTTGTGTATCTTTTTGGTTCAAATCTCGGTTTTTTTTCGCACTTTTCTGCTTTCTTATACGTAATGTTCAGAATTTCCTTTCATAGTTCCGTATTTGAAGGCACTTAGTGGGAAATAAAAGTTTTAGTGGTAAGAATGTGTCCACTTTACTTGCATTGCTGGTATGATTTTTTTCATAGTAGAGCAGAATTGGTATAACAGCTCTGAAGACATCCAGTATAGAGCCTAACTTGCAAAACAGTGGTTACGGATGTAATATGGGAATTATACCATGTCTCTGCAACAAGCATGTGTTTACAAGGGCGTGTAGGGAATGAAAGGGCATTACAAGCTGGGTCCTTTAAAGAAAAGAAAATGCGTGTCGAGCTTTTTCAGACTATGCGTGGTGAATATAGAAATTGTGAAAATTTTGAGACAAAAAGTAGGGATGAAATATTGACAGAAGAATTTCTGTTTGGAATGAGCACTACCAAATTAGAAGAGCGCCATTCGTATTTCTGTCCAACTTTTTATTATTTGTTTGAAATTACTCTGGATGATACTGATTTATGCTCTAAAACAGGTTTGCCATCATCGTTGCGCCTCCTGCAGTCCCAAATTCTTGCGAAAAAAAATTTGCTTTCACAATCGCAGGTAACATATGGTTTTCTTTTTGAACTATATTACAGGGGTTTAAATTAAGAGAATGAGTAGAACTTCAACCATGTCCACCAAGCAAGCCACCTCGCTTGCCTTGTTATTCATTTATTTGTTTATTTTCACTTGTGTTTTTTTTATCAAGGGTGCGTGAATTTTATTTCACAATTCGAATCAAGTTTGTGCGTACCAGTTTTTTAAAGTTTTCTTTAGTGGCTTGTTT